TGTATCAAGGGATCGCCCTCCAAAAGCCAAGAAAGACTTGACAAAAGTTCATGGCTACTGCGCCAACAAACCTGTCAATGTTTAAACCAACAAAGCCAGGGATAAGAGCTGCCAACGTCTTCAGACACCCCCACTCGTCCCCTCCAATGAGTAAGACGCGCCTCATCCTTGGGACAGGGCCCGATCTCCACGAAGGTGTTCTTGACCCTGGCAAACGAAACGAGCTTCATCTCCCAAACACCCGGAGTTGGGAGCAGCAAGAAACATCGGGTGACCCGGTGACGGGCCCTAAATGCAGCCTGGGATGCCAGACACATCAGGGAATGCGAACGGGAACCTGCTGAGCTAAGTCCAATACCCCGCACATCCAAACAGGGCCCAAACCCACCCTCTTGGTGAGGGTTGGAGTAGACAGGGAACGCATGCCCGCCCAAAACGTGCCACTAGTTAGTGGCTTGGATTTGTGGTTTGGTGGTTGAGGAGGGGCTGCCCATTAACCCTCAAAAGCCAGGGACCAACTCCAAACCACCAATCCAACCCACCAGCTAAGGATCATCTGAGTACTGCGGCTGCTCCCGAAAAAAATATACTTCGCTTCGAGCACTCCACGCTCACGAGCTTTCGACGGCGAACACGGTTGTGTGAATTCAAGCATGGTTTTCGAGCGGCTTGGGGCCTTTGACTGCTCAACATGCTTTGCGTTGAAAGCCTATCCACCTGTGTGTGTGTGTGCGTGTCAAACTCCACTTGTCTGCGAGCCGATCTCGAGAACTGAAACTGCGGTTCCGTTAACAAAAGCCAAGTCCCTTCCAAAAAGAAACCTGACGGGATTAAACAAAGTTGCTTAGTCGCAACCCAAAGCAACACACAAGCATCACCCTTTCCGAGCCTCAGGGTACACTCAAAACACGAAGGCACCAATGCAAACCCAACGGTGCGCCGGGCGGGACATTCAGCAAAACCAGACTGCTCTGGCGGGATACTGGCGGGATCCACTGCCGAATACTGCCGAGCCGCTCCGGCTCGATACTGGCCGGATACTTGGCAGGATCCACCGGCAAGGGATACTCAGCGGGATACTCGGGATCCACTGGCGAGCTACTCTGGGAGATCCACTGGCGGGCTGTTTTGGTGGGATACTCGGCGTCGGCGGGATCCACTGCGAGCTACTCTGGGATACTCAGCGGGATACTCGGCGGGATCCACTGGCGGGCTGCTCTGGTGGGATACTCGGCGGGATCCACTGGCGGGCTGCTGTGGTGGGATACTCGGCGGGATCCACTGGCGAGCGGCTCTGGTGGAATACTCGGCGGGATCCACTGGCGAGCTGCTCTGGTGGGATACTCGGCGGGATCCACTTGCGAGCGGCTCTGGCGGGATACTCGGCGGGATCCACTGGCGAGCTACTCTGGGATACTCAGCAGGATACTCGGCGGGATCCACTGGCGAGCTGCTCTGGCGGGATACCTTGCGGGATCCACTGGCGAGCTGCTCTGGCGGGATACTGGGTGGGGGCGTGGTGTAGAAGCATCGCAAACGCGGATTCCAACATAAAATCTAACAACCCCTTCCTGTCGGGTGGGGAAACAATGCGAAACCCGTTCAGACCCTTCGGAAGCGGCGGCCAGCCCCCCACTCCACTTGACATGGACTATGGATGCAACACGCCCTGCAGGCCGCGTCCGATTGAAATACTTAGTCTGAGGCCAACCATTCATGTGGTCGGTTGACCAAAAATGGTGTGGAATTTTGTTCATTTCTGGAGGCCCCCTTGGGCGGCAACACAAATGTTGCCTGCGCCTACTGTTGACACCCCTCCCCATCAGACATCATCATAGTACCATCCACTCCAACCACACACCCGTTTTAAGGCTCTATATGACCAACCTGCTTTCTGCTGGTGCATACTTACCTTTTGGGTTCCTTTATTTTGTGCTGGGAAAGTTGGCAAGGGAAGCTGATGCCCAGCTTGAGCTCCAACATCACAGAGGTTTGGGTTGCAAGAGACCATGCAAGAGACCGAAACTTCACTGGTGTCAAAAATGCTGGGACTGCACAAACCAAAACGAACAAATACGCATCGACGGTTGGCTTCCTTTTGGGACTGTTGGCAGCTGTCTAGAAAGTCCGACCCATCTGGTCGGCTAGCAGATTTTCTCCAATGCAACGCATCTGTCATGCAGCCCACAGCTTGCTTGCTTGCTGTAAAGCAAGCGCACTGACGCATCTACGTCTAAGCATGCAGTTGCATCTGAAGTTGGTCTTCGTAACAAGATGCCATTCTGACACAGTCAGCTGGGCAAAGCCCCAAACAATCAATTATGCCCCTTAGACACGGACTGACACTACATAAAACTTGCCGAATCTATTCATAGTATCTGGCCGATTGAACACATGCCACATGCCCGAGGTCGCAACCCCCCCAAAACTGTGAGGTTGCGATTCGTTTGCCCACTTCTCGAATGCCAATGCTGTCCATGTTGCTCACCAGCCCTTGGCAAATCGCCGCGCGTGATGGCTCCCGATGCGGGTATTGGAGCCACGCCAATTCTCCTCAGGCTTGGCCTCTCGTATCCCCCTTGGCCTTGAGAGTCGTGTCAAAGGTCCCTAACGCAGCCAAGTTGGCAAACCAGCTCAACGATCATCTGCCATGTTCGGGGCGTTAAAGGGATTCGTTGTGCCGACCCTTGGAAAACAAGGGCTTCCTTTGTGCTGATTTGTAATAATATACAAAGAAACCAAAGAAATGAACAACGCTGTAAAATCACCCCCCCCCCCCCCACCCCTCGCGGATAGAATGTCCGCGGATTCCATGTGTCTAGTTGTCCGATCAAAGGGAACAAAACACAACCACACCCACACACACACACACACACACACACACACACACACACACACACATGCGGTTCCATGCAGTTCCAGGGTGCACCACCCTGTCGCTGCGCGTCAAAGGGTACAGCTTTTTTTATGATGCAACAGACCACCTGTAGAACTTCAGTGGCGCGACACTTTGAGTCCTGCCTAAATCACCCCCAAACGGCCTTAGATCCTCGCCGAGATTCCTTTGGCCAAGGGTCAACGTCGATCCATCGGCCATTCCCGAAGCCGTCGAATCTTATAAGCCACGCTCACGATCCCATGGAAGTCTGCGTCCGTGGCGCTGTGGGCTTTGGGGATCCGCAACGAAACTTTGGGGTCCCTGGTCCCTTCAATCGCTCGTTTTAAAAAGGCACCGACCGATCATAAATATGAACATGGTCGACATTGGGGGGCTCAGTGTTTGGTGAGTACTCACATTCACTGTGGCTCGTGACCTTGCCTGGTGTGGAACCCCATTCACTGTGCATGGTGACCTTGCCCTGGTGGTGGGGGGTTTGACCAATGTATGGACCCTGTTGTAGCCTTCCTTCGAAGGCGACACCCAATAACACCTTGATTCAAAAGGGGAACCCCCCCCCCAAATAAGAGCAGTTCTTCTTGGGGAACCAGCGAAGCGCGCCCATCCAAGCGTCTGGGTATCGACTCACAAGCGTTCAGTCAATGTGGATGGTCCCGTTGAAATAATTCACAGGCCCAGTCTTCCAACCACAACTCTTCAGCCGACGGACCCCAACCTGGGTAGTTGCTCAGCTGTGGAGGTAAATGACAGCCCTGGTAAATAAACATCGAACCAAACTGAACCAGTGGAGACCGTTGATTGTTCAGGGAAACACACCAAAGACGACAATGGCGTGAAGTTCCCCCACCCGCAGTCGCTCCCCCAGCTCAACGCCTACACGGAGCCAGACCACCGCCCCCAAGTTTTGGGATCGCACGATTTTTCGATCTTTCTGGATTGCCCGCTTTCAGATCCCCGCCAAAAGCGACTAACTTTGAGTGGTTCAAATGGAAACTACCACTTGTAAGCCCTAAAAAGCTAAGGAACCGGATGGCTGGGAGCCACCAAGACTAGAGGGATCCCGAATCTTTGCCATTGCAGTCAACTAAACAGCTCTGAACAGGGCCAGGGATATCTCCCAATTCCCAGAGCGCCACTTTCCGCTAGCGGAGTGCGCTGCCCTGTCTCTCTGGCTGCTTCCGCAGTTGAACAGCGTGCACTTTGAAAATCTGGCAGCCTAATGTTGACGCCATATTAGTAAACCTAAGTACATTAATATGGGGGTGTTCCTGTCCAAAAGTGACAATTCCCCACGAAAACCTGGGACACCCCCATATTAATGAACAGGGCTTGATAAATATGGGGTGATCGTTACTTTGTCAGCGGTCTCACTGATTGAAAATCCAAACACGATACTGAAGCCGGTCGTCTTCCAAAAGCAACACAGAAGAACACACAACTCAGCAAAAAGGGCGTCCCCGATGAATGCAACGACTGCACGTGAAACAACCTGCAAGACGTCGAGGGAACGAAAGCGGCGCTATCCTCCTTGAGGGATCTCGTCTTGCCGCTATCCGACAGGTTTCAACCGCGAAACAAAACCGAGGCAGGGCGAAGCAATGGACTGCCTCCGCCAACCTGCGCGCCCAGGCTGCGCGCCAGGTCTCGCTTCAACCAGGTCTCACATTCCGTCACGGACCTGTAGGACAGCCCCCAGTTCCCAGTGAAAACACCACCACCAAGGCTCGGTTGCTGTCTGCTCCCCTGCTAAAAGTTTAACTTTTAGTGGGTTTAATACGGAACACCAATTCATTAGTTGGCAAGAAGTTCTTCAGTCCTAACATCCCTTGGCAAAATGCACCTACGGCTTCTAAGATCTTCGAAGCGATGGTTATTGTAAGCCTTGAGGATTGTGAGACCCCGCTTTCCGGCCACGGCTACCCAAAAGCGCGGGGCCGCTGGCCTGTACATGAGCCGTTGCACTCCGAACTCTTGTGCGGGTGCTCTCCAATAAAGCGTGCGAATCCGAATTCGGGTATGCCGGCGCCGAGGCAATGCAACCAAGAAAAAAAAACAAATGTCGATCTCGCTTTTTTGAACCGCACCTAAGGCAAAAAAACTGGTCACACACATGGGCGACTCCCGGACAAAAAAAATCTGGGAGTCGCCCTTTCTTTTGCCTCGGTGGACGTCTTTAGAAAGCAATCTTACATAATTTACACCTGTCAGCTGATCTGCTCTATGGCAGGAGACCGGCCAACGAATGGAATGATCATGTGTCTGTTGATTTTCTTTGGGTTATCAAAGTCAGAAAATGGTTGGTTGTTTCCCTTGAACCCACAACTTGGGGGGTGACTTTGACCATGATAAAATTATGAGGCCAGTGCTAAGAGTGTTTTGCTTTTAGTGGTGTAATGGAAAACCCATTAGTTTGGCAAAAAGCTAAAGTCCTAACATCCAAGCAAAATGCGCCAAAGTATTCGCTTTTGATGTGGCAGCACATGGTGTGTGTGTGTGTTTTCTTTAAAATGGGCATGCCGCCGGTAAAACTTCGCAACCTGTTTCAATAAGGTCAACCTTTTAGATGGCTCAAGGAAGGCCTCGATCTCTGACTCCGGGGAGGTGTGAAGATATGGCTGGCTTCCTCATCCCCTGCTAAACTGTACAGCCCTTAGGTCTCTCCAGGAATCCGTCACCCGGAAAAAGCTGGGTTCTGAGAAAAACAATTGATAAAGCAAATGGAACAATCGGTACCGCAGTGGAAACTTTGGTCCAATCAAAAATGCGTGGCATGCATGGATGAAGAGCTTGAAGGCAGTTCTCAAGAGGCACCAGCGCGGTTTCCGTCAAACAAACAAAGATACTACCTCAAAAACTACACCTGCAACCAAGACTTGCAGAGTTTACGCGACTTGCGGATGTGCCAGTCAACATTACTGCGGAAGCAACTTGTAGGTATCTGTTGCTGTGGATCTTTCCCACCCACCTGCCCATGACCTGCTTGGAGTTTCCCTGTTGAGCAACATGTGGGCATCCTCCAGCCATTTGCTTAAGACCCCTGGAGAAAAAAAAACACATTTTTCCAGTAGTGATCAGTTCTCTTTAAAACCAACAGGGGAAAATCACAATCATTTCTTAACCAAATGGAAGGCGTGTGCGGGGTTTCCCTGAAACATGCAAGTCCCAAGGAGCAGCTGACATCACGCTGTATGGGCGCACAGTCTGCAGACCTCAAGGTCGTCAACACCTCGGATTTCGGCTGCACGGACTGCCCTCATGGCCAGGGGTCAAAACCCATGGTGCCATTTTGGGATACTTACCCCTTAAAACTCCAAGCCCTGGGAAAGTTAATCTTTTACAGACCTTCAGCCCATGTTACCCAGAAAGTTGAAAAGTTGTGCTTTTAAGAGGTGAGGATAGGTGCGCCACCCAGTTTAGTCTATTTGTTGTGGGGATTGGGATGTGCACTGGGGCGAACCGGAATTTTGACCCACGGCCAAATATGCCCAAGCTTTGGCGACGTTCATGTAAAGCTTGGCTCCAGTGTGACGTGATGGGCGGTTCACTTTGCACTCGCTCGATTTCCGGCATCAAAAACAAGGAAACCAACCACCACTTGCCATCTCTACTCTTGGTATGGTAGCAAAAAACTTTGTTTTTTGCAGACCCCCAGTAAAAATGAACAGAAACCAAAAAAACCAACCAAAAAACGCATGCGCTGACTCTGAGCCAAGGTGCGGAAGGCAAAAAGCGCCTCCAGCAGACCGCGCACTCTTGGGGCCCAGGGGCGCCCCGCGATCTCGGCAGACGGCAGGCGCGGGAGGTTGGACCATCTGATGTGCGGCCCTCCTTGCCTCTTTGGGCCGGAGGGTCACTCCACCGACCGGCTGGAAGAGAGAAAGGGAAACCAAGGAACTCTCTGGCAAATTGGGTTTGGATCTATGGAAGTTGTATACGACTGAATATGAGGCGTGCATACTGGCTTCCGAGCTTATACTGGTGCAGAACAGGGCATTCTGGTACCCTTCCTCCCACTAACATGGCACCTGACAATGGGTCCCTTGAAGAGGAAACTGATCTTCCAGGCGCCCTCTAGGGAGGGGAAAACATCGGGCAATGTTTGAACATGTTGAGACGGCTATTCTTTGAACAACCAAAGAGGACCAGGGCCCAGCGGTTGATATGATGAGAGCACCCTGTGGTCGCTACAGCCAGCACTACCCCGAAAAGGGAGCAATCAACCTGAGTAACACATAATACATTCCGAACAGCATGTTGACATATCACAAACAAGCCGAAAGAGACGAAACACCAAACACGGCCGCACGCAGCACGCCCAACCGCCCCAAACGAAAGAGCAAAAGGAAGAAGCAAGCCAAACGCGTAACACCAAGACGAAAAAATCACCAGCCCCAAATCTGGCCTCATTACTTTACCATGGTCAAAGTCACCACCTAAGCGGTGGGTTAAAGTGAAACAGCCAATTCCATTTCTGACTTTGATAACCCCCAGCAACCGTCAAAATCATGACCCCTGCAAGGTGTGGTTCAGCAAAACCAAACAAAAAGCCACGTTTGCATCACATCCCAAGGGGATCCCGGCCATCTCTTTCACATCCGCCGGCACTCCTTGGGCCTCAGCCGTGCGGTAAGGCTGCAGGGAGCCGCACCCAACGTGAGTTGCTGAGTCGAAAGGACCCAGTTGGGGGTCCGAAGTCTGTCAGGACCAACTTAACTAGGTCCTCCAGTAGAGAGGTTAGAATCAGAGTACCAACTTCTTTCTGTAGTCTATTTTGGTAGGGGAACCCTCCCCCAGAAAAGATTAGAAGAACCACGACTGGGGGACCTAGTTTTAAGTCCCCAGAAAAACGAAAACATATTGACAGTGATAGATTCCCTTTGAAACCAGCAGGGGAAACAAAAACAAGCGAATGGAAGTTTCAAGACTGTGCCAGAATGACTCACTATGCAGGTTTGCAAAGGGCTTGGCTGCTTACATTCCTGAATCAAGAGTACACGAGCTGCTCTAAATGGGAAAGGGCTTCGTTGCCCTCTTGAAACTTCTCTCGCCACCTGAAAACAAATCACATGCACGGGCTCCGCCAGTTGTGAAGACGAGAGAAGTTTCCAGGGCAGAGGGCAACGAAGCCCTTGCCCATTTGGAGTAGCTCGTCTACTCTTGATTCAGGAATCCAGTTTGAAAACCCCCACGTGGTAGGCGACTGAACCAAAAGAACGAGCCCAAACAGAGGCTCCACAAGGGTCACCGAAAGTTGTTCTTAGTAGTACTGACACTGTTCTGTCTCTCTGTTTGTCTTTCAAAACTGTTATATCTACTATTGTTATCATTCTCATCACGAGTATTCTGATTATCATCATCATTCTTACCACCGTCACTCTCATTCTCGCAATTTCACGGCCCCTTCGCTCAACAGCGCACGCCTTGCTCGCTTGCGGGATGGCGTGCAGCGTGGCGGCTCAGCTGGGCTGCCGCACTTGGGGTGCCGACCAGGGACATTCGATGCCGGAGGACTTGATGCTGTTGTTCCTGAGCGATGCGGCGGGTTCCGGCGGCCCTGTGGACCCAGGTTTGGCGGCTCAAGAACAAACAGGCAACTTATATATATATATTAAAAAAAAAAAAAAAACAAAAAAAAAAAACAAAAAAAACAAAAACATGAACAAACAGGCAACCTAAAAAAATACAACAAAAAATGCATGGTTTGTAGGGGGCCTTCCACTTATAAAGGGTTTCATTTGCAACCCCTGGGAAATGGAACCAGAGACGAACATTGGTAAGTGGGATCCAAATAACACCAACCTTGACCTAACACACAGGCCCCATGAAGAAAAAAACATGGCAAGTGGCATTCCATGTCTCATTCCCTGCATCTCTCAGCCATCCACCCACAATGCGGGAATGACCCAGGCCCCATGAAAGAAGCAACCAAACACCAGTTGGATGGTTTATATGAGGGGCCAGCAAAACCCAAATGGCTGTGGCTCAAAACAACAAGTACCAAAATGTGGTGAATGGAACCAAACACGAACACCTGCGCCTGCGCAACCCTGGGTCTTTGTATTTTGAGCCACGCCTGCTTTGAGGAGGAGGTTAGTCAGGGGTGCCACGCCCCTTGGAAATTTCAAGGGGTGTGTGTCATGCCACTTAGTGGGGGACCACTCTGAGTTGACCATCTTGAGGCTCGGAATGACGCTGAGGGGTGGCGCCCGGTTTCTTCCTTCAAAAACAATGCTGGGTGGACAGTCGCAGGCGACCCTATCTATGTTCCATGCAGTTTGAGGGAACAACTCCTGAGTGGCTGGCTCCAACCTCTGTCAATAATTATGCTGCTGGACTGCTGATCGCTTCCTTGTCGGTGCCACTTGCCATGGGAAAGGACATTGCGAGCAAAATAATTACACGGAGGCCACCGCTAAAGACAAAGGAGCAGCACCAAGCTGTGGACCGGCAGGGTGCCGAACGAACCACCTCACGATCTGAGGTCAGGGCGTTCCAACCAACCGCCATACATCTAGCTGCCTTGCGCCGAGGCACGGGCACACAGGCGTCCAATGAAGTTAGGTCCTCCAGATTTGAGAGGAGTTAGAACATAAGTTGGTTCCCACTTTGTTCAGGTCTGTTTCAGGGGAACCGAATCTCCCAACCAAAAAAGAAACGGCGAGAAATCGGTGGGGCACAAAGTTCGCTGAAAAACCGAGAGGTGAAGCTCGCAACTGGAAGTTCTCTGAAAGCTCCCGCCACCACCCCCCGCTTGACCTAAGTGCTTGGAACCCACCAGACTGCAACTGTTCAAGGGGAAAAAGAATCGGCAGGCGGGGAAAAAGTTCCGGAATCCCTTTGTGGGTTTCCAGAAAAAGAAACTGAAGACAACACAGTGACCAGTTGCATTTCATCAGAGTGCATCTATTGATGCACATGACATCCACGAAGAGCAAGCGGGATGCGGCAAGTCAAAGGATTGGGAGTTGGGATCGGGAGCTGGATCTCATACTGAAGCGTTGTCAACCCTTTTTGGTGCCTTCGTGGTGGGCGCAAGGAAGCCTATTTGCATTTACAGAGGCGTGGCAGGATCAAATGTGCTCAAGCAGGAGCCAAACAGTCGTGCTAGACCTGGCTGAAAAGGACCATATGGGTTTGTCAGGGTCTTAGGTATGTCTCTACTTGAAGAAACCTCGATGGGATGCCGTGAAACTGCCAACCGACAGAAAACCGAAAGGCCGCCAAAAGGGGCGCCCAACTCTTCTCAAATGAGCAACCAAATGAGGTTCCCCCAGTCACATTTGGGGGTATCTCAAAGCAGGTGTCGCATTTCGAGGTTCCCGTATCCCAGAAAGTGGGGAATTGAGCTCATGTCCCATAGACCATAGAAAACCATTTCCCGTTCCCTGAGAGTTCCTTGGGTGGCTGCAAGTTTGAATGGGAGTCATCCGTAAACATGAGCCATGGCCATGAGAGAACAACAAGGGCCTAAATCAGTGAAATACGATGGACGAAACCCACTTCGCACCACCTAAGATCCCTGGAGTGATGATTCCCCCCGCAAATACTAAGAAACGATGGTTTCCCATGGTTTCGCAGCGATGCAGGATTTTGTCCATCCACAGTAGGGCTGTAAGGGTACCAAGTCATGATCATTCGGGCACCGCTTTGAAACCATGGTTGAAACCATTGCTTTGATATTTACGTTGGGGAATCGAATCAGGAACCAGGAGTTCTGAACGGTGCGTTGGAGGGATTTCGCAACCATCCCCAGTATTAACCAAGCCTCGAACGCCTTAGCTTTGTAGGAAGAACCAGCACCGCTGGGGACGTGCCGACCCCATTATCTCACCTGACAGGATTGGCCACAAACAGTCCCCAAACTTTGTGTTTGTCAGTAACCAAACCCACAAAGTGACCGAAGTCCGAGTCCCAGTAACCCCAGTGAGAGACATCACAGTAACCCCATGTCCCATTATTCCCTACCCTTTAAAGGACATCCCCAGGTTCCCGCACTACCCTCGCACCGGTCGCACGTGTCCCATGTCCCGGTCGCAACCCCGCAGTCCGCCTGCCCAGGACCAAGCCCAAAAAGGCCAGCGCAAAGGCGCGCCAGTCACCTCTTGCGGTCGGCCTTTTTTGTTGTTCTTCCGTTTTTCTCGCGGCGAAGGAAGTGACGGCCGGGGAAACAACCGAGAAAAGGAAAAACACGGGGAACTGGGGTTGCTGGATTGACCCCTCTGCAACAAGGAGAAGGTCCTGTTTTTTTGGAGAGTTGGTACTGTAGCCCCTTTTTTGGTGGGTAGGAAAACCGAAAGGAACCCCTCGAAGTGGGGTCCCCCCCACCAGACACACCGTTGCTGGAAGGACCGCTAGAAATTTAGACTTTTTGTGGGTCCAATATGGAAAATTCCGCCTGCTGTAACAAAAAATTGCTCAAGTCCAAAGATCCGGTACCAAACAGTCATAAAGGGAAAAGCAGAATAAACCAAAGGGGAAAGCAAAATAAACCAAAGGGACACCATGGGACCCCGAAAGAAACAAAAGGGAACCAAGCGAGAACTCTCAGGAGGTAAACTAACAGGAAAAAACAAATAAGACCAAACGGATGAGAAGAACATTTCAGGGGATGAAAATAAATCAAAGAGCAAGAGAAGGCATCTCGAGAGGAAATCGGATTCGTCCGACTGATTTCCAAACCTTGTTTCTGTTTGCCGGACGGGGAACGTGCAACTGTGGATGGACAAGCTAAATGTCGCATCACAGAAGAAATCGTGCTCTACCGACTGCTTTCTGATGATTACCCTGTAAATACCGGCAAACATAGCTTCATTTCGTGGTGCGAATGGATTTCGCAACCATCCACAGTATGTTCCGTAGGTTAGGTGAAAGGAGCAACCACAAACTAAGACAAGGGTGGACAGCACGCCCGGAACGCCGTTCCGGCTCATGCCACTGGAACGGGTCCGAAGGTCCTGAATGAGTCAAAGGGCCGAACTCGTTTGGAGCCAAATTTTTGGCTGCTGTTGACCCCTCTGCAAAAAACAAAGTTTGTAACTTGTTGTGGGTCCAGTGAAAAACACATCCACTGTTTCCCCAAAAGTGAAAGTCCAAAGATCCACCCGAAGAGCCATACAGCAAAAAGGTGGGCCCAAGTCGGCAACAGTTTGCTGGCTTCTCAAGCCGAAGACTGCCGGGAGCCCAGAAAAGTCAAGCACGGCCAAGCCAATCCAAATGAAACCACTTCTTAAACCTAGCCCTCCATTGAAAACTCAAGTTGTGTTTTGAGTGGGTTCAATGGAAACCCGACCACTAAACCAAAGACCCAAAAAGCTCAGGAAACGGCTGGGAGCCACCAGGCTGATTTTGACACACACGGGTTAGCTTCACCGAGCCGCGATTTCGGCTCCATCTGCTGCCGTAGTCATCGCCGAGCTCCGCTTGCCAGTGCTCGGCGCCTCGCTCGAGCCCGCCTTTTCTTTGGGGACCCGCCAAAACAGGGACCTTCCCGAAGTTGCTCTTCTCACTGGCTGCGTGGATGGCCCAAAAAAAGTCCAAACTTTACATTTACCACTAAAGTGGTCTTCCCAAAAAGTTTAAAGTTCATGAACTCAGGAAGTTGCTCTTGGTGTTCAACTGGAAAATCAGAACGAGGCCTGCTGGTGCAGTGGCCTGGAAAGATCAATTGTGGTTGGTTGATTCCTTGGTTTTGGCAACTTTTAGTGGGAGATGTCACAAGATTCCTCCGAAATACAATCTAAACCAGTTCCGCTGGGAACCAAGTCAACCACATGCTCCGGCTAGGTACCCCTGCCCAGGCAAGGGTACACATAGCGTTAATAGCACCTAATGATATCCGCAAATGTTACAACTGGGCTGCCCGTTTTCAGATCCCCCGCTAACAGTGACTAACTTTTAGTGGGTTAGACTTGAAACTGCCACTGAACACTGAAAGGCTAAAAAGCTAAGGGGATGGCTGGGAGCCAACAAGACAATAATTGCAAAATTGGACATAAGGGATCCCCAAGCAAAGGACCTACATCATGGTGAGCACGTTCTATATCCAAATCAGCTCGCCATAAAAAGGAAGATGTGTATACAAGGAGAGCGATTCAATCGCAAGGTGGTCACATCACTCCTGAATTTGCGTAAGGTTTGTGATTCCAGGGGTACATGGTTGATCCCCTTGGATCACGCCTTCTATTTCCGGGATCATGTCTTCTATCCGTGGAGGCATGTGTCAAAAAATAGGCCCCCCCGGACCTGCTTGTGTCATGCGCGGAGCATGGGATTAGTCATCTCTTGAGTGGAAAACACGTCCCGCCTATACATTGCGCAAGTAAACAGACCAGTGAAATGGCCAATTCAAACTGCAATGCGTCTTGAATCCCGGGAAGCGAAATACATTCCCCTCCCTCCAACCAACGTAGCACCTGTGGGAGGGTACCTGGAAGATAATTTCCTCTTGTAGGGACCCTCTGTCAGGTGCCACGTTAGTCGGAGTGCGGGTAGGCCCAAATATATGCTATAGGTCCTCCAGCAAAGAGGTCAGAATAAGTTGGTACCGGATGTTTTTCTCTGTAGTCTATTTTAGTAGGGGAACCGAATCTCCCCCCAAAAAAATTGGTAACAGGGCACTGGGGGACCCTACTGGGGGACCTATGAGGCCCCACCTCGGTGCAATTTTCCAAGTCCCCGAAGGGCACGTGGCTTGATGGCCGCGCAGCGCTTCGGGCGGTTCTAAGAGCCCTGCGGGTAACGCTGCCGAGGTCGATGACCTTGTAGCAGTCCTCGAAACGGCGCTTGTAATTTTTCTGTCTTGTTGAATTCTCGGGAACCCAGGAGCTCTACTTCCGTTTGCTGAAGGTTTCACCAAACAATGCTTAGTGTTCGCCAGGCATGACAAGGTCCCTTTAAGGCCAACAAAGACAAATAAACCATTGCTTGAATTAAATAAAAGCTGACATAGCCTTACCAACCGGAAGCTCAGTCAAGTTTGATTGAAACATAGTGCGTAAACTGGCTTCAAGAGGAAACCTAAGGATCGTTGCGCCGCGGCCAATTGCAGGCCGCGACGCCGGGGCATTTTCAGGGCCGCTTCAAAAAGTGGCTGCCAGGGTTGGGTTGGGTTTGGGTTGGGTTTGGGTCGGGTCCGGCAGCTGGCGATTTCTTGAAAAGCAAGGGGCCATATCCAGGCGCCGCAGGATGTTGCCGTCATGGAGATCGTTGTACACCTGAGAAAACCATTCGGCCAGCGAGTGCTTGTGCAAAGCAGAAATTGTTCGAAGAACTTGATCTTCTCTTCAATTTCTACCCTGAAGACTGACTGCCTTCCAAGTTCATCGAATCTACTCCGGGGTTTTAGAACATCATGCATTCGATCAAATGCCAATGCAAGTGTTCACACCTGTAGGGTTGAATATGAAAATTAAACCCCAGGTACAATGTTGTGTATATTGCACAATCCGGCAAGAGAATACGGGGATCACAAAAAAGGAACCTGCATCCTTGGTGAGGTTGCAACCCATCATTGTCAGTACAATTTGCCCATCACAATGAGAAGACACGAAATGCTGGCGGTTTGCTGCTGGGTGCCATAGAAAGCATCAAGCAACAGGGACGACAAATCAAATGACACACCTCCACATGGCTTGCACCCAAGCTGATCGACCATTCTCCAAGTTGGTGCGAGAACAAGAGATAAAGTACCTAGAAGGCCCTTGTACCCTTAGGGAATGACAAGCTGCAGAAGCCAAACATGTAAATGTCACCGAGTTGAGCAACCACAAGAAGCAGCTCAAACAGCGCAGCCCAGCTCTAGAGTTGTGTGTGAGGCACTAAAACGCAACCATGTGATGCAAGCCGGACGCCGCATTATAGTATGCTGTGTGCACAGAAGTGCCCTCGAGATGAACCAGCGTAAAATGAGGGATCTCCACAAAGACCCGCCATATGGGTCTGTCTTGTTTTTTCAGGGCACCTGTCTTTGGTAGGCTTTAAAAGGGACACCGAAAAGGAACACCACTGTCGTGGGGGTCCAAACTTTGAAAGACACAGCCCCATATATAGGCAGCTCCACCAGCAACTGCCTCATGTTGACCCCGGATTCATAAACCCCTGTTTATTCACATGGGGGTGGACACCCCTCCGAAAGTGGCCTGAATCCCCACCAAAGCCAGGGAGAAGCACCGCCATATTTAGGTCCTCCAGATTTGAGAAGTTAGAATAAGTTGGTACCCTATTTTTTTCAGGACGTCCATTTCAGTAGGGGAACCCTCCCAACCAAAAAAGTTGGTAGAGAAGGGCACCTAGCTGGGGGACCTAGACCATATTTGTTCAAGCGGATGTCGAAATACTTTTTGAACTGGAGGTTCATTACTCCGGGGTTCATCTGGGGGAAGTCGAATCCCCACCAAAACAGGGAGAAGCACCCCGAAATATTTGGGTGTGGCTCAAAATTAAACAGGAGAGGTTACGCAGATATTGGTCCATGTTTCCACTTGCCAGGGTTCCATTTCGGTACCGGTTTTTTTGAGCCACAGCCATTTGTTCAACAGGGGGTTCGTTTGACTTCCTCCGGGCTCAGAAGTCCAAGGCGCGAAGCCGTCCTGGTGGATCCTCCGCAGCACCTGCGCCACTGGCTGCAGACTCCGGGCCGCCCTGGCTGGGCTGTAGCCCGCCTCGGCTCGACTCGGCGCTCCGCGTCGGCGGGTCGCGGGTCTGCGGGTCTGCGGGTCTCCACTTCATGCACCATTATATATATATTTTTATATGTTTTTTCGAAGGGCCTCTAGGACCCCAGTCCAAGAAAAGGACCCCTGATCATGAGCTCGATTCGACCCCAGGCTCGAGTCAAAATCAAAGCCAACGCAAAGTCAACTCGAGAGCCATTTCCGGCTTCCAGTTCCAGTCTATGGCATTTGCTCGCCGTTTTCCGGTGGCACGATCAAAACCGATCGGTATTAAGCTGGTCGCAATCCCAGAACCATGTTTCAAGAATTCAACATGCGGATACTCTCACACGCATTGTGGCAAGGAGATTGTCCCTTACTACCCTCATGTAATTCATCCGTCGCTCAAGTTGGCGTCCTTTTGATCTCCGCGAAGACCCGATCACATAATTGTGCAGGCACCAAAGTTGCGATTCAACTAAATATGTCGCAAAATGAGAAATACATCTCAATACTCATCCCTGTTTGTTTTGCTTTCCCGGAAAGACAAACTTTGCTTTTGCTTTGCCTTGATAGTCAAAACTCAACGTCTGCGTGTGTGTGTGTGTGTGTGCATTTGGGGAAAAGGGACACCAAAAGGAATTGCCGGGGAAGTTTATTTTGACATACCTAACCGGAAAAGGGAACCCTTCTCAAGACCCTGGCCCTACTTGCCCTGACCTAGAAGCACCCCGGCCACTGTGAATGGAAAGTCTCATGTTTGCCTGTGGGAGCTGCTAAAAGTTAACTTTTAGTGGTTTAATGGAAAACCCATTAGTTGGAGAAAAGTTAAAGTCCTAACATCCAATCAAAATGCACCAAAGATATGATTGGTTGCCTTCGGAGTAAGCCTTTAAAACAACAACGGAGTTCTCAAACCAAGCAGACCCAAAAAGGGAGGCACGCACGCTGGGAAATACCCGCCCGGGGGCCATGTTAATTGGAGGAAGGACTCGAAAGACTTGCTGGCGCTCAGTAGGGGAATGAACCCAAGAATTGGTCCCCGTAGAGGAAACCACAAGGCTTACTTCCTGAGTTGATGGGCCAAAAAAAGTTCAAACTTTCTGTCTACCACTAAAATGGTCCAAGCCCAAAAAGTCTAAAGTCCAGGAACTCAGGGAGTGAGGGATCCTCTATGGTCATTCCCTCATGGCCTACTGAGCACCAGCAAGAAACACCTCCCCGAAGGGAGCTCTCGGGCAACAGGAAAGCGAGCTCTCGGAGTGCGGCTTGCCGCCAGTGAGTGCACGTGGGGTGGGGGGCTAAAAAGCAAGCTCGAGGATGATAATGGAGTTGTACCGGGCGGAGGGGGACCCTTTTGGGGTTGTAAAGACATATTGGGGTTGATCAAATGTTTCTGGCCCCAACATTAACATTGGACTTTTTGCCCACGTAGTGGTGACTTGTTCGTTGGCTCCACTAATGGTCACCCCATGTAATCCACCCCCATTTCTTGCTAATCCCATTGTGGCTGACCATTGGGGAAACCACTCAACAAAATGATATGTTCACTAAAGGGGAAACGTTAGCCATGGTCGTTTCAGGGAATATTGACTAACCCCAAGCCCTCGCTTCTTTGGCCGTGCTGCCAGCCCTTGCCGGATGTCAAGCAGCACGCATGCCTCCAGAAGCGCTTGTTTCGGGAAACAAGAGGGCAAAAGGTGGGGGGGGAGGGGGGGGGCAAAGGTGCACAGACTCCAGGGTTGGGCCAAACCTATGTTGAAACAAGTTGAAACACCGATTTCTCTAAACAACATGCTGATCCTTTCTTGAAAGGTGGCCAGGGCAAGTTGCTGGCAAAAAAGTTGCCGAATCCTGATGCACAGGCTCCCTTTCCAACAGTAAAGTGGTCTTCCAAAAGGCTTCCGCGCACATTGATTGCTTGTTGGGAGGTGACAACTGAGCAATATTCCAGTACGATATAGGGCAAAGCTTCTACATGGGAACCTCTTTCAGGCTGCGAGTCCAAGTCCAGCAAATAGGGAACTCTCATTTGCCGAGGTATCCACCCTGTTGCCTGGGACATAGCGATTTCATTCCCCTTTGACGCAGCTGACAATAGCACACGCGCTGACCATTGCGCACTCGGACCGCGGTGTTTCTTGCCCCAAATATGATTTGCAACCCTCTGCTTGTACATGGAAAGTATTAGGGCCTGATGAATAAAGACCCGGGGAAAAAAGACAAATGGCTGTCCAAATAGGTGGCAAATGGATGTTCATGGTTATGCCCCCTGGCCAAATAGGTATGCCTCGGCTTCTGGGGCCGTCAGCTTAAGCGCTTCTCGTAGCAGGCTTGCAATATGGCCATGGGTCAAATTCCCGTACCCCCAGTGAACATCCCAATCCCCACTAAAATAGATTAAAATGGGTGGTGCACCTACCTGAAAATGGTACCATTGGTTTTGACCCACAGCCATATATGTTGAAGCTGCGGCAGGCCAACCAGACCTGTGCACGCGGAATTTCGCACGATCTCCCGTGTTTTTGCAACCAAATGTGAGTCGTAAACACAACAAGGCACTGAGGGGAGAAACAAACACCAGGACCATGGTTTGCCTCAAATGAATCGTGGCCCAAAAAGTAGGGTTAAGATTATGGCGATGCTTTTGTGTTCTGAACAGCACAACATTGTCGCCTTCACATTTCTACTTGCGGACCCAGCGGTGGACATCATTCACGTGGCCACCAACCACTATTGACAGTGCCCCAACCAACCCCGATAAAACGAGAACGAACAAAAAAGAAAAAAAAAAAACACAACAGCCCCTTGGGGGGACATCGAGCCAACCAACAAACGCGCCTTGTTGTCGTTGCCGGTGCCCTTGCCCAACTGCTTGCCCAAACGCTCCAGGAGAATGGCCTGCCGTCGTCATCTTTCTCAGCGCGCCAGCGTAGCAGCGCTAAACGCATGGTTGTCATGCTCCCTCCGTTTCGTATATTCTTCCTCTGCTTTTTGAGTGGGGTTACTGCGTTGTTGCTCTTGCTCCTTCGATTTACAACGAATGATGCTAACTTCAGGCATGTCTTGGTCCTTTGCTGAACCAAATTGAATGCTTCAGCCATCTAGGTGAGTTATAATATTTCGCCAACCTGAAATAAGGTGGTTGGGGGGGATATTCCCCACATAAACCGCCATTTGGGGTGAGGTCGTGTGAGGTCGCTATAATTCACCCAGCCTTGACTTTGAACCTCAACCGGTTCCAGGACAGGGTAAGGTTTGCCGTGCCCGGAGGCCAGAAGCTTGGGGACACTGTTGCTGGGAAGGGCGACTATCCCTTGGTGAGGGGGATGGGATCCGAATGGCAGTAGGTTGAAGGTCGAACACAGCAATCGGCTCAACATATCTTGGGTCTTCTTGTGATCCTTTCATGCGCTGTCCAGGTTGAATATTGCTCGCAGTATGAACAGGCCTGTGTTTGTTGCACCAATTTATGTGCGCATGTTAAGTTTGGCTACAACCATGTGCTATACCCACCCCAGGTACCTGTACCTGGTAGAACCCGTCAAGCGTTACTTGTTTGACTGCGGAAAAGAGAGCATGCTCGCTACGAGTGAGCACCCCATCTCAGATGTGGTTGTGGGACCTGCCCGATTCTTGCCCCTAGTCTCCTCCCCCCCGGTTCTGTTCTGCATTGTCCAGGCTGCCTAGTGTGAATGTCATGCAGTGGTCGAAACATCTTGTGCGCGTGGTGATGTCTTCTCAGAGTTGTGGGAAGTGCGCCCCTGTGTAATTATGTGCTGCCGCAAAAAATCCATCCCGGTGATGAATTCTTCGCAAAAGCGGTTGGTTCCCTGGCATCACATCAACAGCTCCGCCCGCCTCTGGCACACCATCAGACCAGATCACCTTCCTGGGCCGGTCAATCTGACTATGATCCACAAATCAGAAATATGCCATCCCCGAGCTTTCATCATAGCCCCTTTGCCCGTCTAAACGCCTCCCGAGGCTTGCCATTCCGCGATATTCCCTTGTGCGCACTTTGGAAGCTGACCCAACTGGCTGCTGTTCATAGCCTCTCCGAAGAACACCATCCCCTGGACCCGGCGGCTCTCTTCCCCAAGGTCATGTCCAGTCGTTTCAGTGTCTCAGTTTTCACTTCTCTCTAAACCCGAAAGCAATCAGCCTGGTGGCAACATGACTTATGAACATCATGGACCCCCTTTAGGGGGCTATGGGGGTAGGGGGGGCTTTCCCTTGTTGACCACTTAAAAGGGCCTTAAGGGCAGGGCTAGGGCTTATCCTTCTCCCAGGCTTGTCCAGGCATAGGCCCCCCATAGCCCCCCAAGCCAAGGAAAAGATCGGACTTGAACTGATCAATTCAAATATCAGAATGGCTCCGTCCTGAAACCCGAACGCTGGTCGCATACTTCACCATGGCTTTTATCACAACCAACCCATGCGTCCAGGGTACAAAAAGCCAAGGTCTCCGCTGTTGGAAGGTCAGCTAATGCTTCTCGCGGTGCGAAATTGCTGCTTTTATGAAGGAGGCAACCCCCAAAGCAGTCAGCCCTTCTCTACTCACTAGACACGAAGGTACTATACAAAGGCTACTGATGCTTCTTGCGGTGCCCCAAAGCATGAAGCAAGTTGGTACTAGTCTAGTGACATGTTCTAGCTTTTCAAGAGGCCGCTGCGCGAAAGCGATAAGTGACAAAAGCATGGCTGCTGGTCCGCCGCTTACTCACTTCCGTTCGAGTGGGTGGGCCAACACAAAGTCCGAACTTGTTGCTTACCGCTGGAATGGCAACCAAACCCAACAAGTTAAAAGTCCAGGAACGCAGGGAGTGAGTCAATCTGCAAGTGAAGGAATGGCTTCATGGACCCCACAACCCCCAGCTAATTACAATCCTGGGACTCAAAAAGTGGAGCTTCCCGCGGGATACACTTTGCACCTTGCGGCATCTCAATGCCTCCAGGCGACCCCGGAACTGGTACGTGAAGAGTTTGGGGGGGGGCCACCCACAATGGCGGTGTGGCTTCCCGTTGCAACTCACAAGGGGCCATAAACGACCAATCAGCTAGGTCCTCCAGTAGTACCCTTGTTTCTGTAGTCTTTTTCGGTAGGGGAACCCTCCCCCAACAAAGGGTAAAAGAAAGGGCAGTACTGGGGGACCTAGGCGGGGTAAGATGGGGGTGCCCCTGTACCATTCAGAGGGTAAAACTACTGATGTCACCTCAATGGACCCCGTGGACGCGGACCCGGTGGAAACCGGCTGCGGACAGCCCAACGTCGCCAATTCCGACGCGGTTCTGCAGCTGCACTAAGCCTTGATGCCCATGCCAGCGGGAGAGGTAGCAAATCTCCAGGATCATGTCCTCAGGCTGCATCTGTGAAGATCCCTATAGGAAGTGGTGAGGATAGACTATAACCTCCACCCACTAACATGGAAGCTGATTGAGGGCCCCTGGAAGAACAGTTGCTTCTAAAACGGGCCTTCCGGTAGAGGGTATGTGGGCAAAAAATCCCTTGACCAGCTATTCCTTGCTCATTTCCGACCTTGGCACTCGATCGCTGCCAGCGTATACTGATGGCTGGACGGATAAGATCTCTGAGGCTTAGCCGAGCAGAAGAAGACCCTGTGATGTTCTCAAGATCCGAGCTATCTGGCAAAACTGGGAACCAAAAAGGGAACAAACAGGATCTGGTGGGGTGGTTCTGGTCAGAAACGCAAGCATCATGCTTCTTCACGGGGCGGGGACTTTTGGCGTCGCTTGTCGCAGGAGTTGTTCTTAACTTGCAAGAACCCGATTCGAAGAAGGCCAACACAGATTCGGGGCCCTGATGTTCAAACATCCACCTTTCCAGCTGAAAAAAACGCCCGAACCCCAGTACATGATGATCCGTTTTTGTTTCCTCCCCACTCGGCTTGATGCTGCTGATTATGCCTGCCGGCTTCCTGCCACTTCGATATATGTGCAAAAAAAACACTCAATTCTGGCTGCCCTCAGATCCCCCCGCTAAAAGTTTAACTTTTAGTGGGTGAAATGGAAACTACCACTAAACACTAAAAGGCCGAAAAGCTAAGGAACCGGATGGCTGGGAGCCACCAAGAATTGCAAACCTTGAGCAGAGGCAGAGTTGCAGGATGGTCCGTGCGACCGAGACTCCTTCCTCATTTGGTCTCCATTCCTCAGCGCGAACGAAGCTCGCTGCCCCGGAGCAAAGGACACCGCCAAGCGTCCATTGGTGACCTGTGCTGCTCGACCAGTTCCTGTAGTGAAAGGGATGACCACCTGGGAAGTACCGGAAAATGCCCTTGATCCCGAACCCCCTTGAACATGGCCCCAATGGCACAGGTCCAATATGGAAAAAGGCACTTCCACTCTTGCATTGAGCAGTATCCTTTGCAATGCACGTATGGGAGCCTGTCATACGTGGGCTGATTTCAAGTACAGCGGATACTCACCCTATTTTCCAGGAGTGGCGGCCCCGTATGCTTTGGGGCTAGCTGAAAAGGGGGCAGTGAGAGATGGTTTGCCGGTTCGGTGCAAAGCCCCTTCACCTTCTATGAAGATCTAAGGGCGCACCACCAAATACCAGCCGTGCCGCTCGGAAGGGTCTCCTTTGCCCCGTGTTCAGCGTCAATTGGACTCACAAGGAAAACGGGACTTCATGTTTCTGGCGAATTTGGGATCCTGCAACTGGCCTTGTTTCCGGCAGGCAAAGAGCAAGAGTCACAATCAAAACCCGGTATTAAAATGGTCTACCGAGAACCATGTAAAGAATTAAGAAGGCGGCCGCAGCTATTTATGGTTAGGATTGTCCCTTACTAACCTTCATCTACCCGGATTTTGATTGTGCCCCACCTGCGCACTAGTTGGCTCACTGAAAAAGAGGTCCAAGCTCGCTTCGCGTCACTTCGCCGAGCGGCTCAAGTGTCAAGACTCGATGCCCAGCCTCGGCTAACGCACCGGACACACAAAACCGAGCCATGTCAGCAGAGTCGGAGGAGTCTCCTGTTTTGGCCCTCCCGTTTTGGGTTCTACCGTTCAGCTGGGGAGTATTCTACCATGAGTTACTCCCTTCAAAGTCATGATGGGGCAAATTAGCTCAAAGGCGAACTGTTTCATCAAGCTGTAGCTAGCTTAGCTCATGCTTATGAAAGTAAAGGGCCGAGATTCCGACACTAACACTCAACTGCCCTAGTCAACCGCCCCCAATCAAAGGGGCAAAGCCAAGTTGATGCCAATTTCTGGTTCTTCTGACTGCTTTTTGGTGACTGGACACCAAGCCTACATCGTGGGTCACTGACTTCCTTGGTCCATGAGGAAGCACTCCTCTTTTGCTTAAGCAGCACACGCCTTGCGGCTTTGCCTAAACCAGTGTAATATGTAACTGCATTTCAAAGCCTTGTAACAAAGGAGCGCTCCCTTCTCAGAATCGCAGAAGTTCACAGTGCGCGTGCTTGAACCGCAAGTTCACAGTGGCCCAACCTACTGCTGGTTTTATACTGTTGACTATCCTAATTTCCAAATGGAAGTGACCTAAAATATGGCACCCCCTTTGGACACTCAAGGAACACATCCCTCAAAGATATGTCCGAATCTGCAAACAGTTGCTAACAAATGCCCTCTTCAAAGCTTGCCATTTGGCCAGAGTTGTCCTTGCTCCTGCACAACAGTGCCGCGATTTGCAGGTTTAACGGAAAAACACCTTGGCCGACCAAATAATGGGCGATTCGGTCAAGTCAAAGGCGTGGCACGGATATTGGGCGAGCCAAGCGGCAACCATGGAAAAACCAAGAAATTCCTGGAAATCATTCCGGAACCCCAACGGAAACCCACAAACTAAGAAGACCGCCATTTGTTGGGAGGCCCCGAATCGTGTTTGTCTGAAGGTCCATCCCATCGTTCTTTCGCCGAACTCCCCGACCGAACTCCAACCTTAGAGGCCTCGAAGTCAGAATTCACCGAGGGGCCATCTTGGAGACAATTCGTACCAGTCGGCGTCCAGAAACGGCCTAGCGCTTGGGCCGACCCAAAGCTCCAAAACTCCTGACCACGGGGTCTTACTGTGGATGGACCAAATCCATTTCGCACCAGCTGGGATCGGTGGTCTACCCCACTCTTCATAGGGCTTCATGAAATCCAAACTGGGGTGCGGGAGTTCGTCCATCCACAGCAGTTTCCTTGAATGAACCCTTTGGTGAAAAAAGTCCCTACGGGCTGGAGAAGCCACCCATCTTGGAACTTCCCACCAGACCACTCCATCCTGAAGGTGCAGCAACAACGAGCCCTCGCAAACGAACGGAAAACTGATACCCTCCCTCCCACATGGCACCTGCAGGAGGGCAACCTGGAACATGAGTTTCCTCAGGGGCCCCATCTTAGCCCATCTTAGTGCTCTGTGCAGGGTACATGGGCAGTCAAAATGTCCAAGATGGCCCCTTGGCCACTGCATCCCAAACCCTTCCCGAGTCACCCCAAAGAAGCTAGCTTCTTAGAAGCCACTGAACACTCCTCGTTCCTCTTCGGAAGGAATCCAAGAGAGGGTCCTATTCCCGCGGAAAAAAAAAAACGGAAAAAAAAGAAGAAAAAAGAAACGGAGATCAATCAAATCCGCATTCAAGACAACTTGCAAGCACTTGCTGTGGATCAAAACCAATGGGATCCCATTTTGGTTGGTAGGTGCACCACCCAGTTTAGTCTATTTTACTGGGGATTGGGATGTGCACTGGGGGTACGGGATTTTGACCCATGGCCACTTCACGTACTTGGCACGGCCAAAGACGCTTTCTAGGTCCTCCAGTAGAGAGGTTGGAATCAGGGCACCAACTTTTTTCAGGACCTAGCCTTGAAAAGAAACAACTCCTTTTCCAATCTTTGACCAGTCCTAGCGCAAGGGTGGCCCCAGCAAGGCCCTTGCTTGAAGGTTGACCCTTTTCCCTCAGGAAGCAGGGAGCAATTTGCGAGAAAGATGTTGGCGCCGGATATTTCTTTCATTCAGCATCTTAGGTGCAAAAGGGATTCATGTCGACCCCAGAATCAACCTTGCTGGAATGGGTTCCACCCGGTGAAGGGACCCCCCTATCCATCCAGGATTTGAAGTCTTTATGTTCCGCTCAAGGCGTCTCAGTTGACTCAAACATGACCTGCAACCTTGTCTCTAGAGTTAGGACAACCAGCTTACGTCTATTCAGCTGGTCAACAGTTTGAACATGCTGAAAACACAAGAGTGCAAGAAGACTACAATCAAACAACTATCAAGTCTGGCTCTCGCCTCAATGAGTCAGTCAGGTCCCTGGGCTTGTCAAACAAAAACTCCTGAAGCCCAAACAGAGCTGATCACGCCCCCTTTTTGGGGCCTAACCAGGTCCCATCACTCCCTAGTCCAAGTACCTTCTCAGGCACTTGGCCCCTTGTTTAACCCCTGAAAAGCATCCTCAAAGGGAAACAAAGGTTTGTGTGCCAAGTGCCATGGGAAAGCCCCTTTCCCCCCATGGGACAAGCATCCTCTTGGGCTTTTTGGGGGTCTGTTTCCCACTCGAAGCTCCGCACCACGAATCAATCCGATCCGCGAGTCGCCGCCTTGTCGACCACCTCCAGCTGCCACTTTTGGTTGCACCCATCGTTCGCCGCGTACGCGCACACCGATGCACCTCGGTTTTCCGGCTTTTCGGAGAGGGGTATCCCCCCTTTTTGGTGGCTTACTAATTATTGGATGGCCAGCTAAAAAAGACACACTCAGAGGTGATTGTCACATTTCTTTAGGGACCCTGCATCAACCTGAAGAACCAAAGTTGCTGGTTTTTTCGTACAACTTTAAAAGTTTGCCCGGTTTCCCAAAGTTGAGCAACAAATCACAACTTTCCTAAAAACATACAACTTTCACTGAAAAGCTACAACTTTAGACTTTGTGCGAAAGGGTGTGCTGAAAGGGGGACAATCGTGCATTGCGGGCGCATTAGCGAATGGTTTTGAGCGCAACCCTATATTTTGGGCCCTTGTTTTGTTTCTGTGTATCGTTCCTGTGTGCGAAAGCTGCTCGGTTGCTCAGTTCTTATGAAGCCTGCTGCACTGACAGCTTATGTTTGCGTGCAAAAAAGAAACATAAACAAATCTATACATTTAAGGCCACATCATTTTGGTGATCCTGCCCGAAAATTACGATGCAGCCTGCGCATGTCAAATTCAACTGAGGTTGTTCTAAGTCTATGCAACTTGTACAACATATAACATCAACATGTTCGGGACCATGGCACTCAGCAATCGCAATGTTGAACATGAACACCCGAGGTGCGGTGAACAGAGTCGGCAATTGTTTGTCTCCACTCAGCAAACGACGTGTGATCTCAGATTGAAATTGATGGTAGGAGCTATTTTCTTCACATACAGGCAACGCTGCCAAGAGGCATCCATGATTGTGAATTGTTTTGTGTTTGAGGATTGGGCAAATTTCGGGGGGCATCGCCGGTGTTCATCCAAATGCAGCGGGTGCGAAGAAAACATCTAATGATGTGTTTACCCGTGTGTTATCGCATCTTTTGAAGCCAGTCGCGCGAAGTCGATGCCACCGAGTGCCCACCGACGATCCCTTTTGAGTAATTGCGGGGCAACTGCGTGGGAAATTGCGCCGCTCGCAAGAACAACGAAGCGTAAAGTGGTGTGTTTTTCGCGTGAAAGTGGAGTAATTTGCCATGCTTGCCAAAATTGCCATTTTCGCAAGTTCTCAGATCCACTTGCGCCCCTTGGCCTCGGAAACCGACAAGATGTTACTTTACAATACCAGAGTTTTGCATGAAGTGTTTTCATGGTGGCGTCGGGCAGTTTGTTTAAAGTGTGGTAGAAGCTACGGGTCGCAAAGGTGGAAAGCTTTATGCCTCACAGCGACAAACAGCAATGGGCGTCACGCTGAAAGCTGTTCCCAGGCCGCTTTGCAAATGGCAAAGTACAAAAGTGGCTGGCGTGGATAGATACAGGCAAATCATCCGTCGGATGAATCTGACGGATATTCATCCGTCGGATGAATCTGACGGATATTGTTCAAGCTCATGCAAAGAATATTCAAAAGCTCTCCGCCTCAACTTTCATGATTCCTCCTCTTTCCATCGCAAGCTTCCTGCAGCGGAGGTTAATCACTTCTTCCTAATTATAAAGGTCGCCATAAGAATAAAAACCCTCCTCCAGAATTCAAAAATCCGGCAATACTACTTTTAGAATAGGCCAATACTAAACCAATTCTAAACTACCCCTTTCCGGGCACCAAAAACCATTCAACCGATTGTTTTTAAGTAAGGGATTTAAATGGAAACAGCCAGACAACCAGACTTCCAAGTCAAAAGGCAGGCCGCGGAGCAGGCAGCGCGGGCCACAGGGTGAAGGGAACTATGGATGATAGGAAGTTAGGGAAGTTATTTTGAAGGGAAGTCAGGGCAAAAAAAGGTACCCCTAATACGGATGATTTGGAGGACGAACGGGAAAATCGGTCGAAATGGGGGAACACATTCCCACTGATAACCAATACTAAAACCAAGCTACTCCCAAATGCTGCCCTAAAGTTCCGAAAACTGAACAAGGGACCCCTAATTATAAAAACCTCGGAGGTTTTTAATATAGGGGGGGGACGTTTTATATTAGGGGGAAGCAATTAACAGGAGACATCATGCTCAAAGCTGGAAGTTTGCGTTGTTCACGGCTAGCTAAAAAAAAGAAAAAGGAGGGTCGACACTGTCTGACTGTGCGACTGATAGTTGCACCAACCAGCGTGGTTGTACGAACAGCGTCACACTTGTCACCCACGCGCTTTTCAGCCAACGCAGCGGAAATTTCGGGCGCTGACGGTGACCCGCCCATCAAATCGCTGAAAACACAAGGACACAAAGATTTGCAGCGCTCGCAAACACGACAGAACAGTTGCTGGGCAAGCAACTATCGTCCAACATGAGGATATGTTTTTCTGGTTACTGCTACAAAGGAGTCGTTGCAATTAGACTAGCTGCCTTAGCCCAGTCGGCAAATTAAAAACCCACCACTATTTCAACAGTTGTGTATGTTTTCGCAACTTTTGTTGGTGCCCCATTTTTTCCAGCAACTTGGTTTTCCAGGAAGTTGCTTGCTCTTCGCCTGCCTGTCGCTAGTTCCAAGGCCAATCCGAACGAGAGCTGCCGGATGTCGCGACTTTCGCTTTTGCTACAAGCAACACCTAGAAGAAGAAGCTGATGAAAGTAGAAACCGCCCCAACAGGTGACCTCAGACTGGTCTCATCCGATCTATTGAAGGTGATGCCACCCTGACGAATGAGACGATTGCCACATTCCTGCTTGAAAACAGCTTACTGGTCGACCCATTGCTACCCATTCCCGTCTCTCTCCAAACAAACCCTTGTATCAGCCAAGGGGCTGTTCGCATCCTGTGCGCTGATCACGTCGATGCAAAACTTCTTCTCTGGAGAACTCCTTGGCTAAAGAAACAACACCTGAAAGCAAGCATTTGGAGTGGCCCCTGCTTCTGAAACACACTCTGCTTAGCCCTTGCCATGCATCTTATCAATTGCCCTAAGAAAAAGCCGAGCAGCAAGCAGCCCTGCTTGCTCGCCAGGCGCGAGTTCTCATCCACCTCAGAGGTTTCAGCGGTCAATCCGAGGCGGAAGAGATACATGAGCCGGGCTCTGAGTTTGTGGACCCCGAGCCCTTCATCCCCATGGACAGCGTGTGTGTACCTTGTCGCGCTAAGTCAATGCTTCAATTCACATCCAGGGTTCAGTCATGTGCCTGACACTAAAGTTGGCCCTGTTCAGCACAAGAGGCAAGGGCCACTGTTGAATGAGACATATCTGCGTGTGCGTTTGTGTGTGTGTGTGTGCGTGTGTGTCTCTTGGACCGGTCTTACTGGGCAGAATGCTTTAATGTGCCCGCTGGCGCAGCATAGCAATTCCACCCGCACGTACCTCCTCCCAGCTTGCCACAAGTGCCATCTTGAAATCCGATCTATCACATCCAGCTATCTCCTACCGTATGTCACGACAAGAAAAGCACTGCATGCAAAACCTATGCCAACCCTCGCACAAGGCAGGTCCAGAAGTATGGATAGGGGAGGAATCGGGGGTCTTGTTTTGTGTTGGAATGTTTCTTGGTGTTGGAATCTGTATTTGAGGTCGATCTACTGTGATGACAAGCCAAAGGGACGCAACCTATTTCGGGTTCCCCCATTTCGGATTAAGATTGAGGGGACCCTCCCAACAAAAAGGTCAGTTTTCTTTTGGCCTCCCCAATATAATCAGGCTCCCCAAAAAGACGCGAGCCGAGGTCAATATTTGGTCACAAGCCACAGGCAATATTTAGGGTGCCCCAGTGTCATTGAGTATTGGCAGGCAAACTCCGTGTTCTTTTGGTACTTATGAGCTTGCCCATGTCATGTTCTTTACTGCCGCAGGTGACAGATTAAGTACTGACATTGCCGGTGTCCTGTGTCTCCTTTGTCAAAGCGGCTTCCCACAAAAAGACAGGCCCACCGAGAGACACACCCACTTCTACAAACTTTGCCATCTTCAGCCAAGCCACGTGCCACTTCTGGTGGTCGCTGCCATTCAATTCACACATCCTGCAACGTTAAACCGGGGGACTGGCCCACCCACTCACCCACCCACCCAACCCAACCCAACCCAACCCACCCACCCACCCACCCACCCACCCACCCACCCACCCACCCACCCACCCACCCACCCACCCACCCACCCACCCACCCACCCACCCACCCAGGGTTTGGACCAAACAAAATACGATCTGGCTTTTTGAGAGGCTTTTAAGGGGTCAAAGTACCTGCTGAGAAGCTCAGGATGTTTTTTTTCACAAACCGGATCTAGGTCCTCCAGCAGAGAGGTTAGAATAAGAGTGCCAACATTTTTCTGGACGTCTATTGTAGGGGAAACCAAGGGCACTGGGGGAGCTAGGGATCTAAATGAATGAGCACGTTGTACCCCCCAGGTGGAGCTACCCGAAAACGCCGGAGACGCTGAAAATCCGAAGACAAATAAGTTATATACGTTCTGCTTGGCAGCGCTGGTTTCCGGGGTAGGTTCCCAGTAACTGCATGTACTACTTGGAGTAGCCGTGCTACTGGTACATCTTGTGCTACTATACTTGTAGTATTGCTACTGCTGCTGCTGCTGCTACTGCTGCTGCTGCTGCTGCTGCTACTTATTTCTACTACTGTTACTACTACTTATTCTGCTGCTGCTACTACTGTTGCTACTTCTTGTCGTTGCTTTTGTCTTCATTGTTGTCGCGCAGCGGGACAGCGTCCGAAGGAGAAGGAATCGAAAGCTGGTTCCGCGCTTGTACAGGGAAGCAACAAACAATACGCGTGTTATGATGTGGAGCCCGCCAGCTATAAATACATGTGGGTATTGTGCAAAATTAAACCACCGACAAGAGGTAGTAGTCCTTGGTTCCATTCCGCAGGGCAAGCCATTTGGGCACATATTTTTGACCCACAGTCAGGTGGACATCGGCATTCCCATTGACTAGTTATCCACTTCAAAAGGCTTCGCGGTGCCCAAGATCATTGAAATACAGCCGTGCTCAAGATGATATGAAAAATGTCCCCTGACAGGCTGCTGACTGTCGCTGAAGCTGTATAACTCACCCACCGAGCTTTAGGACTCAGCAACTAGGTCCTCCAGATTTGAGAGGTTAGAATAAGGGTGCCCGATTTTTTGCTGTAGTCTATTTTAGTAATGTTGACCTACGATTAGTAAATAGACCATGAATAATGCTAACCGATTTCCAAAAACATAATAAATATACCATGAATAATGCTAACCGTTTTTCCCAGGGGAAAAATATGAAACAAATACAAAATAATAAAAACTAATTCCAAAAAATAACCTTCCCCCCACATGAATGAATGAATCCTGAGTTCCCCAGCTCACAAAAGAACCTAGAATTCCCATTGGGATCCATGCAAAATGCAGATTTTTATTCAGGGTCAGTGCTCCCAACCCTCATCCCCCATGGAATTTGCATGGTTTCATACTGAATTTATCCATGGATCATGCCAGGCAAACCTGATTTACCATGGGATTTGCATGCTTCTGGCATCTAATCTTTATTCAGGGTCAGTGCTCCCAACCCTCATCCCCCATGGAATTTGCATGGTTTCATAGTGAATTTATCCAGGGATCATGCCAGGGAACCATGCTTTACCATGGGATTTGCATGCTTCTGGCATCCAGTCTTTATTCAGGGTCAGTGCTCCCAACCCTCATCCCCCATGGGATTTGCATGCTTTCATAGTGAATTTGTCCAGGGATCATGCAAGGGAATCCTGATTTACCATGGGATTTGCACGCTTTTGCATCGAATCTTTATTCAGGGTCAGTGCTCCCAACCCTCATCCCCCATGGGATCCTGATGCACCATGGGATTTGCATGCTTCTGGCATCCAATCTTTATTCAGGGTCAGTGCTCCCAACCCTCATCCCCCATGAGATTTGCATGGTTTCACAATGAAGTTTTCCAGGGATCATGCCAGGCAAACCTGACATGGGATTTGCATGCTTCTGGCATTCAGCGTCATGAACCCTGAGACTCTAAATGATAACCAGACCATGAATAATGCTAACCAGATTCCCCCATCAGAAAATAGATCTGATCCCCTTATCTTTATTCATGGTCAAGCTTTCCAGTCCACTTTGCTCATCCCACACTTGATTCTAGATTCATCCAAAATCCACAAATTTATGGGACCCCTTTCTTTTAGAATTCCTTTAAAAAAACCATCAAAATCAACACATTGACCCTGGCAGCAAGGGTACCCCCCATGAACCCTGAGGCACTAAATAATAACCAGACCATGAATAATGCTAACCAGATTCCCCCATCAAAAAATAGATCTGATCCCCTTATCTTTATTCATGGTCAAGCTTTCCATTCCACTTTACTCATCCCACACTTGATTCTAGATTCATCCCAAATCCACAAATTTATGGGATCCCTTTCTTTTAGAATTCCTTTTAAAAACCATCAAAATCAACACATTGACCCACGCAAACCCTCATGAATGTCCTTCTCAACCCCTCCTAGAATGCATGCTAGCCCATGCAAACCCTCATGAATTTCCTTCCCAATCCCTCCTGGAATGCATGCCAGCCCACTCAAACCCTCATGAATTTCTTTCTCAATCCCTCCTAGAATGCATGCCACCCCATGCAAACCCTCATGAGTTTCCTTCTCAATCCCTCTTGGAATACATGCCAGCCCATGCAAACCCTCATGCATGTCCTTCTCAATCCCTCTTGGAATACATGCCTGCCCATGCAAACCCTCATGAATCCCTCCTGCATGCCTGCCCTGAATGTCCTTCTCAATCCCTCCTAGAAGGCATGCCAGCCCATGCAAACCCTCATGAATTTCCTTCTCAATCCCTCTTGGAATACATGCCTGCCCATGCAAACCCTCATGAATTTCCTTCTCAATCCCTCTTGGAATACATGCCAGCCCATGCAAACCCTCATGAATTCCTTCTCAATCCCTCTTGGAATACATGCCAGCCCATGCAAACCCTCATGCATGTCCTTCTCAATCCCTCTTGGAATACATGCCTGCCCATGCAAACCCTCATGAATGTCCTTCTCAATCCCTCCTAGAATGCATGCCTGCCCATGCAAACCCTCATGAATGTCCTTCTCAATCCCTCTTGGAATACATGCCAGCCCATGCAAACCCTCATGAATTTCCTTCTCAATCCCTCCTAGAATGCATGCCAGCCCATGCAAACCCTCATGAATTTCCTTCTCAATCCCTCTTGGAATACATGCCAGCCCATGCAAACCCTCATGAATTTCCTTCTCAATCCCTCCTAGAATGCATGCCAGCCCATGCACACCCTCATGAATTTCCTTCTCAATCCCTCTTGGAATACATGCCTGCCCATGCAAACCCTCATGAATGTCCTTCTCAATCCCTCTTGGAATGCATGCCTGCCCATGCAAACCCTCATGAATGTCCTTCTCAATCCCTCCTAGAAGGCATGCCAGCCCATGCAAACCCTCATGAATGTCCTTCTCAATCCCTCCTAGAATGCATGCCAGCCCATGCAAACCCTCATGAATTTCCTTTTCAATCCCTCCTAGAATGCATGCCAGCCCATGCACACCCTCATAAATTTCCTTCTCAATCCCTCTTGGAATTCATGCCTGCCTATGCAAACCCTCATGAATGTCCTTCTCAATCCCTCTTGGAATACATGCCTGCCCATGCAAACCCTCATCAATTTCCTTCTCAATCCCTCCTAGAATGCATGCCTGCCCATGCAAACCCTCATGAATGTCCTTCTCAATCCCTCCTAGAAGGCATGCCAGCCCATGCAAACCCTCATGAATGTCCTTCTCAATCCCTCCTGAAATGCATGCCAGCCCCTCATGAATGTCCTTTTCAATCCCTGCTGGAATACATGCCTGCCCATGCAAATGCATGCAAAAGTTCTTGGCTCAATACTACTTTAGAATTGGCCAAATTCTACACTAGTATTCCCCCAAAGCAAAATAAGAAAAAGCAACATGCCCAATACTACTTTTGAATTGGCCCAATTCTAAAGTAGTATTCGAAAACCAAAAAAACTGAGCCCAATACTAAACTCCTTTAAACAAGGCCCGACCCTGAAAATTCTCCCCCAATCTTTATTTATGGTCATTCAGGGGGGGGGGGGGCCCTATTTATTAATCATAGGTCAACATTAGGGGAACCGAATCTCCCCAAAAAAAGACGGTAAAAGGGCACCTAGCTGGGGGATCTAGGCAATCTTTGTGGGTGACACATCCTTTGCATCCCGTGAGAGTCCCCTCCCCACATCGGAAGAAATCGTCCTGAGGCTTGCCGCGGGGCCGTCGCCGCGCACTTCCAGCACCTCACAAACCCCCGGGGGGTCGGATGTGCCGACAATTTCCGAACGAAAGCCGCGACGTTTCTGTAAGGCGCGACTTTGGGAGTCCGATTCCATGTCAAAACCATATATGTACCTTGCTGGGTTGGTTTTTGTTTAGGTTGTTTGGGAAAGCGGAAGAGCATGAACTTCAGTGGCAGTCACGAGCCGAAGTACCCCAACAGATATCCAACGAGCCTTTCTAACCGCGACAACTTTAGCATCACGGCGATTGGAGCTGGAAATTTGCCTCGGCTGGCACCAGGGCCAGCCAACTGATACTTCGCGAGTTGCAGGAACGATCCCATTCGCACCCTAGACAAAGTCGCTTGCTTCCAGGAAAAATCGGGAGGGCCCCCGGCTTTTGTGGCGAGCCAACTCTGATGCGCATGCCTCTTGAAAAAGAAGCGAGATGTCCTATGGTCGTCCTAGGCCCTCGGTGGTGCAAAAGACAAAGGATCCCAAAATTGCCCCTGTTCTTGCTTCCTAAGCGGCTGGGCCAAAAATGTCTGAATTCACTAAAATGGTTTTGCAAAAAAATAATCCAGGAACGCAGGGAGTGAGTGCTAGGTCTTACTGGTCCCCGTTTTGGCGCTAAAACCGTTCCTTGTTCGGATTTGGGGTGCTGTTGGAAGCTCTGACAACCAAAGGAAAAACAAGTTGCGAAGACATGGCCCGTTTGCAAAGGTGACAACAGTCTTCCAAAACCCTCCTGTCAGCTTCCGGGTTTCTCATGAAAAAGGGCCCTAGTCCTCGACTGGCCACGAGACCAAAAGGACACCCTCTGCTTGTTTTGAAGGGAAACCCTTCAGTCCACAAGGAACCCACCCCCTTTCAAAGGAAAAATGGTCGTCCAAGATCTCCACTCAGATTCCTCCATGTGGAGTGAGTCATCCAAGCAAAAGAAACAGGCCCATTGGATTCGGCTTCGAATCTGGTCCTTGAACGAACCCATGGCACCGGACAACCAAATCTCGGTTGCGAAATCTGCTCCCCTGCTAAAAGTTTAACTTTTAGTGGCTTCATGGAAAACCCATTAGTTGGCAAGAGAAATAAAGTCTTAACATCCCTTGGCAAAATATGCACCAAAGAAATATGAAACGGTTGTGCCTGACCTTACCTCCGTTCAGGCCATCCAGGAATCCATGGAATGAAAAAATGAACAGCCCGTGAGGTCAAGACGTGTGGTCGAGACGTGTTCATCTTGCTGCCTAAAGGACCGGTGACCTGGAAACCCCAAAAGGTCAACAGGCTGGGCGTTGGTGCCACATGTGCCACAGCAAACGCGTGGCCTTCAAGTGGAGGCATCGCTACTCGACACAACTCATGCAGGCAGCGAGGCCCCAAACAAAGCCAGATGTCGGAAACGATCAAGAGACTCTACACCGCTAACAATATTTGCCTAATCGCAGCGGCTGTTAGTGGCTGCACACTCACTTCAGCCATGTGATCGCGTTGTTTTGGGTTGGCCCACGTGGTTGAGTGTGTAGACCACTATCCCAACGAAACTCGAACGTGACCACCAACATTGGCAAAAACCACACACTTGGGTGTAACTCCTGTTGACTCCATCTTTTCGGAAAGTCTGTAAAAGGACATTCAAAGGGAAACACTTGCTCTTGAGACACGCCCATGCACTTCTTTGCTAAAACAGTCTGATGCTTCGCAGCACGACACATACTTCCATTTGCTTCAGCCCCCTGGAAAAAACAAAAAACAGTAGTCATAGATTCCCTTTAAAACCAACAGGGGAAAACAGAAAAATATCATTTCAGCAAATGGACGCATACGACCAACCGCGCCTTGGAACCCAAGGCCCGGTTGCAAAGGTGAAAGTAGGGCTCGTCCGCACAGGGCACGCACACCCAGAGCCTGTGTGCATGAAAGCAAGCGACGCACCGCAAAACACGTTGGCAGCCTTGAGTATCCGAACGTGCATCTCACAAAAGGCTTCGTACTACTCCCGTCAAGGTTGGCAAAACCAAGGGATTCATGCTGCGTTGGCCATGATTTACCTTTGTCTCATCTCTGGCCCGGCTTCAAAATGCTAGCCATGCAAGTCATCGGTCCTGCGTCTTTTGTGCGTTACCCGTGTTTGTTGTTTGTTGGCTGATTGTTTTGTGAACGTGCTTTGTGTGTTGTTTTGTTGGGGGGATCAAACAGCACGAGAATGCTGGCACCTGACCGTCATGCGTGCAGTGGCTTCACGAACGCTTGCCATGTCCAAGGCATTTGACAGCAATGGAAAAAGCATCTGCTCACGCCAGTATACATTATGGATGAGCTCATGTTTTATTTCCGGGCATGAGCTGGCTAATTGTTGCAGAGACGTTGATGTAGTCATTTGCAGTTGGTCATCACGCAGGCTGACATCATCACATTTGTCCTTGCTCTACAAACTGTAATGTCCGGGCCTCGGAACTGTTGAACATCGTTCACCGCAGGAGCTTGTCCAACACACACACAAAGACACACACACACAGATACATGCAGCCCGGATACGGGAAGTTTCGGAAATATGGGACCTCCGACAACGGTTGGGTACCTTTCGGCTTCCCTTTCAAAACCAACCAGTGGGCCATGGAGAAGAATGGGTGCACCGCTTTTGTTTGGCAGTCGAGCTTACAGGGGCTCCCCGTCCCCGTCTCAAGGAAAACTGGGCACAGGTCTGCGGACCACCTGTGCCATGGTCACAACACCTGCGCCATGCGTTTCCTGAACCGACTCCTACACAATTGTGACCCTGGTACCCGGACGCGCGCGCGGCGCGCGGCGCGCGCGCGCGGCGCATTTTTGCATGTGCAGCTAATCAAACTAATGGGAATCTGTCGCATGCTTGTCACTTGGTTGCTGTTTGACCCCTACGCAAAAAGATTCTAACTTCTTGTGAAGTACAATGGAAAATCCAATGGAACATCCAATGGAACAATCCAATGGACAGTCCAACGGAAAATCCATGAAAATCCAATGGAACATGGAAAATTCACCCTCCCAAAAGTCTTGGGTCCTCTCCAAAAAAAGAATCAAGTCCAAAGATCCGTTCCCAAACAGCCAAGGTCAAACGTGGCAAGGGTGTCCATGACTCTCCCGTGCGTCCGCCAGCCCAAGCCCAAGCAAAGGGGGAAAGTGACCATAGTGGTATCTTCCTCATTCTTTCCCAAAAATCCGTCTTTCACCACGGTCCATAGCCATGGCTGACGCCAGCCGGAAGCTCTGCCGGGCAGCTGGTCATCTGCCGCCATTGCCGGGGCAGGCCAGGTGTAATCCATCGAATCCTCGCCACACGGAACGATGCGGACACGACGCAAACCTGGGCTGCCCGTTTTCAGATCCCCCGCAAAAAGTTTAATAAACTTTTTGTGGGGTAATTAAATTCGGAAACTGCCACTTAACACTAAAAGGCTAAACAAAAACTAAGGAACCGGATGGCTGGGAGCCACCAAAAAACCAATAGACAAATTGAGCCTCAAACAAAATATACTTCTTTCCCCGAGAAAACATAAAAAACAAAACATTGGGTGGCCCACCTTGGTATTTCAACATGCACAAGAGACTACCAGTAACTTTGTCACATGCTCACTTCACCGCAACAAAGAAAGGCCATGTTCGCCGTTGCCGAAGCAATGCACTCCCCAACTCGACGTGTCAAATGGCAAAGCAAACATATTAGAGGCCAAACGTCAAATGTCCCAAAGGTCGGCGCGCAAGAAGGATCACCGCGTCAGCGGTTCTGTTGGGCAACCAAGCCATCCAAAACCCTAGTACCCGCTGGCCTATATTCACATATCACAAGAAGAAGGGCGCGAACCCACCGACACCTGGCCACAGACGCGCGAACCCACCGTCACCCCAAGCCCCAGAGCGAGTCTCCTTGAGGCATAGCCGGGCGGCCGGCGGCCTGGGAGACTTGGGGGTAAAAAGTCGTAATCCAAAAGACCGAACCCATTGGGTACCTTTAAAGCCGACTGCACTATTTTCTCACAAGGAGGGTTGCGACCATGAAGGTTCCTTATCTGGCAGTCCAGGTCTTACTTCAGGGGGTTGATCAATATTCCCTTACAGGCCCCACAATGACCATTGGGTAACTGTTCCATGTGGGACATATCATCGTTTTAGTGGTTTTGCCCAATGGTCATCTCAAAAAAATAATCATCGTTTTAGTGGTTTTGCCCAATGGTCATCCCATGTAAAAAAAAAAAAGTGGATTTGCCCAATGGTCATCCCACGGTAAAAACAAAATAAACACTTTCCACTCCAAAGTCCCCCCCCTGTGGAATTGACCCTGTCACTTGGCTGGCCACGTGGCCGCACCTCCAAGTACGGGAGGTGTAGACTCATCTTTGCCATTTCGGTTTTATGTCCGTTAAAGGAAACACATATCAGTGTGGCTCAAAATTAAACCGGAGGGGCAAACCGCAGGTTTTGGTTTCCATGTTTCCACTTACCAGGGCAAGCCATGTTGGTTCGGGTGTCTTGAGCCACAGCCATATTTTTTCCTCTTCGGGATCTCCTGGAAAGTTGCTGATGTCAGGTGATATAGCGCGTTTGTGTACCTATTATGTGACTTATTTGCGGTCGGCATATGGTTGGGGCCTTGGACTTAATTTAGCAATCAGCATGACTCATGACGCCATATGCCACTAGGCCCACAGTTTTGACATATGCACAGATGGCTGACGGACATATAGGAACCTTCTTGCACCCCAGAAAAGCGGGCTAGAACGAAAACAAGTTCCCAAAAAGGAACTGGCCTTACTTTTGACAAGCCTCCTGCATTTCAGTTGGTTGGGCTCGGATAAAAATAGTGTTCTTTCACTCATATTTCCCGCTCCAAATACATCTGTTTCATCAGAGAAAGACAACTCTTTCAGATAGTGCTAGAGCAAAATACTGGAAACCATAGACCCATACAACTCATATAACCCATCATTAGGAGCCAGTCCCCCAGTTCTTCCTGCAGTGCCGGTTTTCTTCTACCATTCCCTTTGCCTAGGATTTCCTAAATGACCTCATATGTGCAATCGAATGTTCTCAAACTGACAAGACACAAAACAAACGCATGGCAGTGTTTGTTGGCCACTACGTGCATGTATGACTGATGAGAACGTATCCTTTCCCCGTAGCAGAACAATTCTGGGAAGTGGGATTTGGGATAGAAGTCCGGGCGTCAACCACCCACATCTTTCCTGCTCCTTTCTGCTCAATTGGAAACAGCATCCGCCCTGGGTGGTTTTGGCTCAGCACGCCTTGAACACTGGTTTGGGTGGAGTTGGTTTATTGGGATTTGTGCATGTGTGTCACAATGTGGTGAGGGCTGGGTATAAAATCCAATCATTCAGGGTACTTGTCCAGCTGGCTTCAGGTACTTGCCACGTTGGCGGTACTGATGGTTTCAGAAGTTAAGTCAAGGCAAATGTTTCGTTTAGGGTTCATATTTTAGGCTCGGGGTCGGCCCGGGCGGGCTCCGGCCTCAGGCTTGGCGAGACTAGACTTGAATGGGCTAGCTTCCAGTGAGATTAGGATTGCCTTGGCTCGTTGGTTTTGCTTGTTGATATTAGTTCCGGGCGGTGGGCGGAGCTCCGATGGGTGCCCCTTACCCATGGCATCACCATTGCTAGACTAGATTAAGGGCAGGCATTGGCAAAGGTCGCCAACACGATCAAGGCTTGCGTGGCCTCATCACCTTCTACTGCCGTGTCTGCTGCCCCATGGTCGGCTTGGATGGGAGCTGCCAGCCACTTGGTTTTAGCCGGTCTCAACTCTAGGCTTCCAGTGAGGCTCAGATTGTCTCAGATTCTTTTCGAGAATTAGCTACCCTGGACCTTCAAAGAAGTAGATGGTCACAGCCACAAAAAGGCTGCAAAAGAAAGGAAGAGCACCTTCCTGGACCTTCCTGTTGAAAAAACGATTGTCCTTGAACACAGGCCGTCGTCTCTTGGTGCTACTTTTTGTGTGGTGACTCCCAGCAATCCATGAAAAGGGACAATGCTCCCTCCCGCAATCTGTTTCTCCAAAAATAGGCGTGTCCGAAACATCGGATATGCTGGCAAGTGCAAGGGGTGTGGGCAAGGTTCAGTGGTCTTGCCACCCCTCGTGGCAAAGCCGCCATCAACCACCAAGGGACAGCTTCATCACGGATTTGCGCCGCCTGACACGTTTGGCACGGCACTCCGTTGAGGCCGTATGATGCTGAGGCTGGTACCGGAGGCCTTTTTCAAAACCACCGTTGTGTGTGAAGTGTCTCTGTGACTCGATGTGCGTTGAAAATACGTCAATGGGAGGTGGATGCCCAGTCTCCAAGGGGCTTTTCTCCCGCACCCAAAGCAAATCAATCAAATCGTATCCTGACTGGCACCGTATCCGTTGACTTCAAGCCCATGCATGTGGACCATCCAACAAAGCAGAACGTGATGTGCGTGCGAGTCCCCTAGTTTGGGTGCAGACTCTGCCACTCCAGTCTGCTACACGCCAAGAAAAGGTGTCCTCTACTCATCTATGCGGCGCTTTTGCGTTTTCATGCCCTCTGGCCTCTGTTTGTGTGTCCCGGCCGTAGTTCCCTTGGTAGCACTGCTTCAAATTGAGCAATACATGTTTTTGCTTCAAACCAACCAAAGGACGTCTCCCAATTTCGGACCACGCCTAGAAGACCGTCGATATGGTAATGTGAAAGGCAGGGCTCGTGTATTTCTCTGGTCAAATTGATGTAAGTCACAAACCGGAATACGGAATCCGCAAAGGAAGAGACATCATGTGAGCTCATTATAACTTGCCCAAATTGTATTCAACACAAGCCGGCAACAGGGGATGCATTAAGGCTCGACAAAAAAACGGCTGCGAGTTAACATTCAACAGATGACGGTTTATTTGGGTTCTATATTTGCAATGGTATCCTAGGCTTGTCCGGGGGTAATCATGACGCTCTCAAAGGTCCATGAACACACACACACACACAAAAACGCACCCACACACACACACCCACACACACACACACCCACACACCCACACCCACACACAACACACACACACAAAGAAACACACAAACACACACAAAGAAACACACACACAAACACAAAGAAACACACACACACACACACCCACACACACACACACGCACGCACACACACACACACACACACACACACACACACACACACACACACACACACACACACACACACACACACACACACACACACACACACACACACACACACACGCACGCACGCACGCACGCACGCACGCACGCACGCACGCACGCACGCACGCACGCACGCACGCACGCACGCACGCACGCACGCACGCACGCACGCACGCACGCACGCACGCACGCACGCACGCACGCACGCACGCACGCACGCACGCACGCACGCACGCACGCACGCACGCACGCACGCACGCACGCACGCACACACGCACACACACACACGCACACACACACACACACACACACACACACACACACACACACACACACACACACACACACACACACACACACACACACACACACACACACACACACACACACACACACACACACACACACACACACACACACACACACACACACACACACACACACACACACACACACACACACACACACACACACACACACACACACACACACACACACACACACACACACACACACACACACACACACACACACACACACACACACACACACACACACACACACACACACACACACACACACTGCAAGCAGTTGCAGCCGACCGAAAACATCTGCGAGATCAATCTGGGCCTCAACCCCGAAACCCTTAAGAGTAATTCCCCATGATGTCTTGTCGGTCCAATCCGTTGGTAAGTGGGTAAAATGGTCATCCCCTCGTTTGCTCGTCCCTTAAACCCAGCCAGATGCTGAAACCATCGTTCTAAGCTTCAAGTGAGGTGTTTCCAACCTCAGGTAGTCCGGTGGGGGTTCTGGTTTTTGGATTCCCGCAAAGAATGGGGAGCTCTTCGGAGAAACACCAAACCCTAACTAAACCTCCAACCCAAACCCGAAACAATACTCAAAGTTCTTTACATGAAACCTTAAATGAAACCGTAGCCGACACCAAAACCTCGAACCAAACACACATCTAGACTCCTACGCGCAACCTCGAACCCAGAACCTTACGTTGTAGACCAAATCCTTAAGACTAAACCAACTGAAAATTCGAAGCTAACCCCGAATTGCGAAGATGAGGAGCAAAGAAAGTGGCACTTGTATTCCATCTACCGATTGGGAGTCAATGACCAACCCAGCAAAGACCCTGATAGTTGCCAAAGTACACATGGTCGAGTCAGAGAGATAGCAATCAGGGTGCTGACGTATGCCTCTTTTTCCCGCGAATGGCGTGTATCCGTCTGCCAAGCTTACCCTATCTTACCCTCAGGCGGGCATGAATGTGGAACCCCAAACCTGTCACTTTGAGAGGAATCTCCTTTGAGAGACCCACGTTTTCAGGCAACCCACATCTCACTTGGTCAAAGGAGTTGGAAATAAAAGGTTAACCTTTTGGCACCTCTACAAAAAATGGACCAAAATGGGAAAACCAAAAGGTCAAAAGGTTGGCTTTGGGCAACTGAGACATGAATTTGCAGGGGCCCTCGCTTGCTTCTTGAGCCTGCCGCACGTCCGGCCTGCCATCCTCACCCACGTCCACATCGTAGACCTTTGGCGGGTCGATAAGACCCTCTCCCGCCGACTAGTCATCTGCCAAGGGTATGTGTTGTCCGAATGACCATGTTTTAGTGGGTAACCCAGCAACACTTGCCATCGGATAAGTGTTTAATCATGACACACAAAGCCAGGTGATTCGCATAAATGGGACCCACTCATGTGTGCAAACATTGGATCCCTTGAACCTGACAAAAGGCGGGTGACCCAGGCACAAAGAACAAAAACGATGCGGAGCCAAGTACCTCCGAAGAAAACAACATATCCTTTTTCAAGATGACAGTAATCTTTGCAAACCAACTGTCAGCTTTAACTCGCCAGCGGTGCGAAGGATTGGAGGTTCGAGCCTCCGAGCCGGCACGGC